GCATGTGCTCCAACTAAGGTGATCAACAAGGCTAGGCCACACACATGAATAGTGTGTATAGACCATGGGCCTTGGTGATAAGTAGCAAAGGTATAAAAGAGGAGAATCTTCCTCTTTCTCTCTTTTTTTATATATATATTTTTTCAGCAAGGCAAGCTGACATCAATTTTTTTAACCAAGATGGTATTTGGTGTGAATGGAACATGTGGCGACGTTCGCACCATCCTCCCCCACATTTGGACTTTTGTGTAAAAGTCAAGTGTGTAGTGTCGGGGTCTCCTCTTGAGTGTGTTCCATCATGACGTTTAGTTGATGCAACTCCCATGTTTTCTAGCATCGTATGCCCCTTATTCTTCTTTGTCTCAACCTAAAATGGTTAGTGACAAGAATACCCTAATGTGTATACTAACTTGATAATATGTTCTTACTTTTATTAATAAGAATTTTTTTTATGATAATATTTTTTATGAATATATAAATATTTATTTCTTTTTCATGATAATCCAGGGTATCTCCCAACAGTGCTTAATTTATTGTCTTAAGCTTGACCCCGGGAACTTCATCTTGCAACTATCAATGGTGGTTTAGTTCCCAACTCCACCACCAAGCATTTAGCATTATCATTTGAGCTGCAAGGTTAGCGCCACAACACATCCACAAGATTTGCAAAATTTATAGTAAACGAAAGGATAAACAACCATCCTCCCAAAAAGTTTGGAAACGAGGATCAAGAAATGATTGCGATCCTCGTGGAAGCATGTGGTGCTAAGCGAAACGAACTCTGGAGACTTCAAAAATGAGCATGAGACGTGAGGGGCCTCAAAAGTGAAGCTTTCATGCTTGTTTGTGGGCCTCAAAAGTGAAGCGGTGTTTCATGAATGCTGGCATAAGAGTTTTCATTTGTAAGGGATCCCTGGCCCAGGGTTTAGGTTGATGATGGCTCAGTTTCACAAGGGTGTGAAATGATGGAGAAATGAACTTCACCTCCTCGAACTGGGGGATGCTGCTTCGCCATTGGGACATCTTAGTGAGTGGCAGAAGCAGTTCTCCTAAACTCTTCATTAAGGCTCCCTAGTTCTTTTTTGTAAAATCTTTTCAAAAGGGTAGCTTATAAGAAGATCGAATTCAAGGATGGCAAAAATGTGGAAGCCTATGAAAACCTCAATTTTATCAATTATGACTAGCATGGCCCTAGCGATCCCACAACACTCGAAAAATAGCCCCGAAGGACTTTTGAAGAGTTTATTGGTCGGGACTAGCGGCATGTTACCCAAAAGATTTTTTGCTAGGAATTCTCATATGATACTAGTCCCGACTATGGGGTTGTGTAGGGCTTCTATGTTTGTTCCCTTAACGAGCAAGGTATGGTCATGGAAGGTGAAAGAATCTGAATTGCTTTAGAAAAACATTTCACTTCCATTAACCATTCCCTTAGCGGTTCCACTATAGGGAAAACTTCCTTTGTGTGCTTTTCATGCCATGATATCTTTGAGGTATTGCCATAATCCTCGAATTTAATAGGGAACTCCGAAGGATGAAGTACTCTTTCCTTCAGTGTTCGTGGTTTGGGTGAAGGCTCAAGAGTCGAACCTAGGGATGATATGTGTTTGGTTTCAACAGATGAGAACTCCTCAACACTTGACAAGACTTTCGCCTAGAGTGGTTTGGTTCTTATAACGGAAGAAGTGTGTCTATCTATGAAGTTTTCAAGGAATTCTACTTGTTCCGTCATAGGTTTGTGTGTGAAACAACCTCCGACATTCACGTCTAGGCATAGGTCAGCATTTATGTCAAAGACCCTAACAAAAGAGATGCAAAATCACACCATCGGATAATGATAAGTCTGAGCCAGCATGTATTAATGTTGAAAATAGGGCCCAGGCTGCACCTATAGACTCCTTCTCGTGCGGCTCAAAGTCGAGGATTGCCCTTGGTAGAGAGCCGATATGGGACATGGGGAAAAATATAAGACAAAACTTGTCTTTAAGTTCATCCCAGTCCCCATTCGTACTCTCTACGGCAAACGTGTACCATTGCTTCACCTTTTCCGTGAGAGAGAAGGTAAACAATTTGCACCTTAGTGTTTGTTGTGTCATGTCTGAGATGCTCAGGCATGAACACACCTCCTCAAACTCATGCAGATGATTGCATGGGTTTTCGCTATCAAGCCAAGAGAATGCCCGAACCATGGCTATCAATCTAGGGTGGAGTTCACCGCGAGATGAAAGGTTTGGTTTTGGTGGTGGCTCAGTGAACTCGCCCTTTGAAGCGGAAGGATTTTTTATAAGAGTTGTGTTCATGTTTGAAAAAGGTAAAAGAAATATTTTTGTTTTTATAAAAGGAAAAAGATAAAGATATGAGGACAAACTAGGTTCGAAGAAAATAGCAACCGTTCTCCGGCAACGACGCCAGAAATGCTTATTGGTATTTCTTAACGCATATAGAAATAATCTGTAAGTGCACGAAATTATCGTTGTAGCATTTCACCTAGAAGTATTCAGGGTATCGTATTTTCTACAAGGAATGGTGGTACTCTCATAGCTAGTTCGTCCAAGGACAACACAAGGGTAGAGTTGGTAGAGGTTGAAATGGATTCCTATGTTTTTTTTGGGTCAAATGATAGATAAGCTCTACTTCTACTTGTTTACTTTGGGCACCGGTCACCACCTATCACCTACCCCTCAACCATGGGGCGTGGCTGGTTTTGGCTCCGGAATTAGACCCCTGGGTTATGGTTTCACCTACCTTCAAACTGGGATCTCCAAGCATCTAGGCATTTGGTCATCGACGAGGTAATTTTGTTATGAGCTTCCCTATCCTTGCTCACCAAACTGAGTTTATAAACTAAAGTATCAATGGTAGCAGGGGAGTACTTTAGGTGTTTCCGTAGTGGATGTAGATATGTTACATCTATGTTTTATTTTAATTGTGTTGTATGAACTGATATCACAAAAAATGTGTTCCAATGATAATTATGATTCTGGTTTCTGTCAGCTAGTATTCTTTAGATATATCTGATTTGTTGTTTCTGGATGGTGCATATTGTGCCTGCATTTATCCTTTTATTAGTATTTACGTTTCCATCCATAAATTTAGCACATCGTCCTGCTCTCCTGTCACCACATCTAAATTCTGTAGTTTCTTTTTGACGAGCTGTATAAAAATGCTCCATTTCAATAGACAAAAATACAGATAGTGTCCAGCTTTTAGCCTCACTGCATTGTTCCCTATCTTGTTTAATATAAAACCATTCCCAACTGAAATATATGCTTGATTATAGTGTGTTCGACACGAATGATTTCATGAGTACACACTGCATTCATGCACAAAAAATGATCATGCAAGTCTCTCAAGAAAAAGAGCAGAGAGATCTATATCTTTGCGTACCAAAAAAAGCGAGCGCCAAAAAAAAAAAACAAGCAGAGATTATCTCGCGTTGCTGAAAATAGGAGCACCGAAGAAAAAAGGAAAAGAGCTAAAGCTCAAATACCTTATGTCATACGCGCGGCTAAGGGCTTTTTAGCAAAAGCTAAGACTCGCAAAAAATGAGCTAAGGCTCAAACGTTTCATGCTGCCAAAAACACGAGCGTCGAAGTCTATGAAAAGGACCACAATTATAACTTACACCGTTTGGAATATTTGGAAGGAGCGATGCAAACGAGTCTTGGACAACAAAGCACGCAGCACAGAGGAACTCTTAGAAGAGATTCGAAACGATCTAAGACTGCTGCAGATGGTAGCCCAAGAATTAGAGATATACCGTTCGTTTCGCTGAAAAAACAAGGCAAAACACTGTTCCGATTGATTTATTGTGAGAGAAAAACACTGTTCCGACTGAAAAAACAAGCTGAAAAATACGGAACATGGCCCGGCTGAAAAACAAGCTGAAATCATCACTGTTCTGCCTGAAAACTGCTGCTGCAACTCTTCTTTTCCTTTTCCCTCCTTGTCTCCTCTGTTTTGTCATCTCGGCTTCAGTTTTTCCTCTCTGTATAGTGTACGTGTTTTGTAACCTTTGAACTTTGCTTCTAACTGAAATGAAACCGCAGAACACCTACCAAATTATGCTAAAAAAAAGTCTATGAAAAAGAGCTATGACCCTATATCTTCATGTTGCCAAAAAAAAAAGCGGGCATCAACAAAAGAAGAAGGTGTTTTTTGTTCTTTTTTCAATTTCTTGGAGCTATTTTTCTTAGCCAACTTTGAAGTTCAGAAACAATTTTAAAAATCGAAATGTAAGTTCAGAAGTTGTAATGTTCAAGAGATGGAAAAATATTTAAACTCATTGTGAAATGTCTGAAGTAGGTTTAATCCCTTGCTTACTTTCCTATAATTTTGTTGCGTATGATTTTGACAAGTCATCTATATGCTCCGAGCACTTTTATATAAAGGGAAGGACTGATCGAAATACTCCAACCTAAGGATACAGCACGGGTCACACTGGTCAAGTCAGCATTGGTCCCTGGTCATATTGTGCTTGGTCACTGGTCACTGGTCAGCATTGCTCTGCTGATCGATCTCTGGCGCCGCTCCTTGCTGATGAAATGATGATTTCAGCAGGCCAATGGGCGCGCGCCGTTTCGTGACATCCTGGCCTGCCCAAACTAAAGCCATGCATCTTCTCGTCATGCCTTGCATCACTTTCTTAACTCGTGCGAAACGATTCACAAAGTTACAGCCTTGCAGCTTCCAAAAGTTCTCTCGGCTTCGGCCAGTCAAGCCTGCCGAGCCGGACGGACGGATTGACTGATTCCACCCATGCTTCAAACCCTGTTTTTTTTGTTTCCATCCACGAGTCCTGATCAGACAAAGCACACACTGAGAACTCTTCGCTCTTTGGCTTGCTTGTTCTGCCATACTGAAACTATATATACCACAACATGCCTCTGCACTGCATGCGTTGCCATAAACATCTTACAAGAATATCGTCTGTGTGTGTGATCGGTGGTGATCCATAAGCTTATTGGTTCAGCAATCTTTCTTCCATATAGCAAAGCTACATGGAGACCGCTAAGGCGTGCATCCTGCTGTTCACCGCCTTCTTCTTCTCCGGGCTCATGCAGCTGACCATGGCGCAGGACAAGCCGGCGCCAGTGGCGGCGGCGACAGCTGTGGTACGGGTGATCGACGCCAAGGCCATCGACCAGGCGATCGCGTACCTGCTCATGTTCGCGGCGCTGTTCGTCACCTACTTCGCGAGCTGATCCATGCTTCCTTCCTTCGCATCGCGTGACACGAATGATCCGGTCGAGCTACCGTGGTCTGCTGGTGGCTTAGGGAGCTGTGCTTTTGACTGTGGTGTTCTTGGGACAATTGTTTCTCATTATTTCTCCTGACGTATATTGGTTTTCGTTTCTGTTCAACAAGATAGTGGTGCAAGTGTTACCCTCATCAGCCCCTGCTTCATCATATAAGTTTGAAGCATGTTTTTTTTTAAAAAAATATTGGTATATAGAGTCGCTGATTTTGTTTTTATTTTGAGAAACTACATGGAGTTGATGATGGCTAGCAAAAACCAACAAATGTCATATACGCTGACAACCTCTCAGAACGTGTTTCTGCTATTCCCTCAATTTCAAATTATAAGATGTTCTGGCTTTTAAAAGCTATGTATCTACAAAAGCCAGAATATCTTATAATTTGTAACTTAGGAAGTACATTTCTGTACCATCAATTCACTCTAGTTAGCCTCTGTCCGAGTGAGTAAATGACAGCGGAGGGTACTCAAAATTTATCACTAAAAAGCCTAACTTAATCTCATATGATTGGATAGATTTTTGACATGTTACTAATTCATGTGTAAATGTTAACCTATAACTCGGTCATACATTAAATTTTTCATTAGAAAGTATATCAAACTTTACAGTTGGCCCATCAAGAATCATAACTATATCTATATCTATATCTATATCTCTTATAAAGCTAATCCTCATTACAAGTCCATCTCAACATGCAAGCCATCTACATCATCCCCCACTAACTACCCACATCATCTCCACTAATAGTCATATCATACCACTTACTTTCAACATCTTAATGTAAGTTATCCACATCATCTCCATATAATTTCATTCTAAATTCTTTGTAATCCCCGAAAGCAACGCGCAGGGTATCTTCTAGTTAATTAGATTTTTATGACCTTAGCAGACAGGTGATGCCAAATGGGGACTCAATTTTATTAAACCTTAATTTCATTATATAAATCTATAAAGGGTCAAACAACTGAACTTCTCATATTAACAATGACTTCATGCCCTAGCAAGGTTTTCATTGTACCAACATATCAACTTAATGCTCTATATATCCATCATATTTACAATGATTCTTATAATGAAATTGGGTTGTACATTCAAAATGTATGATTACTCTGGCCTAGTATAAGCACATTGACAATTAACTAAAAACTAATCCATCAATTCGTAACATTGTACGGACACTAATAATTTTAAGAGATATAAGTATTTAAATTCTATAGATAAATTTATTAGGATCTACATATAAACAAGTTACTTATGTTTTGCTCTCTCTCTCTCTATTTTGTTCATATTCCAACAAGTACTCATATTAATATTTCATAATGCGTGTCCAGTTATGATAAACTTTATTTACCAATTGCTAGATCTGTATTTTTTTTTTGTCCTCATACATAGTTCTCCCAATCTGGGTTGCACCTCTATATGTGTTTAACATGTGTTCACTTAAAAACATTAGCTTTGCCTATGTGTTTAATATGAAAATGAACAAGCTCATAGCTTCCTGCATATATTTGTATGCGGCCTGCATAGTGACACACATCATGCACATATAGCTTTTATTTTTTTCTATATCAACAAGGTAGTAGAAGATGGTAACTTAGAAGCATATATGTAGTACTTTGGGGTTTATTTATAATGATAGAAGTAGCTTATTTAGATTTAGATTTAGAGGATATATTATTTTAATAATTTCTTAGGTCGTAGTAATTTAGCCGCAAAATTAGTAGACTTACTTTAGATTATTTTAAAGGACATGGATGAGAAATGAATAATTACGAGGTTACTTTAGGTTATTTGTCATAATAACACTGGTGTAAACTTAGAAAATATTTAAGAATTACTTTGTTTTATACTCCCTTCGTCCAAAAAAATATGCAATTCTTACATTTTGAGAAGTCAAACAGTTTTAACTTTGACTAAAATTATATGAAAACATACTAACACTCGTGAGAAAAAAAAAAGTACCATTAGATTAGTTACATGATATATTTTTATAATAAATTTATTTGAAAACATAAATACTTATCTACTATACCTAAATAGGAGAACACCACTAGTAGATTTCTCTGTGATCTCATGAAGCCACGTCACCACGAGGGCCCGCTTCTCTCTAGCTTCATCGATGCAGCAATGGCCACTCTGCCTTTTCTGCTGCCACTATACCTAAATAGGAGAACACCACTAGCAGATTTCTCTGCCATCTTACGAAGCCACGTCACCACGAGTGCCCGCTTCTCTCTGGCTTCATCGATGCAGCAATGGCCACTCTGCCTTTTCTGCTGCCACCACTAGGCCATTAAGAGCCGTTTCATTTTTTGCACCAGAAAGCTAAAATTGACGTAGCCTTTATTATCCACCCCATCGCATCCCTTTTTGTCCTCTCTTCTTCCAATTCCTCAAGGTATAGTAAGAGTAGCTCCCAGGAATATTTACGGTATGTGAATCCTGCTGTTTACAGCACACCAGTTCTGCAACGCATGGCAGATCAAGCACTGGGTATCTCTTTTCCGCCGCTGTCCATTGATCACTATGCTTCACCTGGTTTTCTATCGCTCTGTACGCAGGGAAAGTGATGTGGTGACGGCGGACAACCACGGCCAGCGTTGATCCCCGCTATAAGCAAAAGCAAGACTGGCGTCCTGACGAGCATGGGAGATCGTCGAGCCCAAGGTAGACATGGAGATGGTGTCGCCAGTCCATGAAGCCGCGCAGCCGCTTAGACATGTCATAGTCACGGAGTTATGGAGAAGCAAGGTGCGGAACGCTATAGGACGGCAGCACCGCGACAATCATTTTGACAAGTTCGTTGCAAGAACAGGGATGGAAAGATAGGAGGTGGAGCCGTTTGCTTCCTTCATAGATGCAGGCTCGCCGCCTCGCTTGTGGCTCAGATGTTGTCCAAGTATTGTTGCACTACGCCTTAGCCTTCGAACGCCAGGTCGCCGCGCGAGCAGATCAAACTAAACGAACACTGAAGCGAACACAGGGTGGAGAAAACACATCATATGTATTCATAGCAATATGTTCTTCTCTTTTACAATCCCCATCTCTAGGGCCTTTTATACACGCCCGCAAGCCTTCTATGGACAGAACTACCCTTCTACCCGCTACACAATCGAGGAATATTCTCGTCCGCCTGGGGCTTGTTCACCCTTTCGGAGGTATCGCCTGCCTCGGGCAGCGCCGGCCCTTGGTCCCCGCGCCCGTGTCGCCTTTTTGCCAACCAAGCGGTCCCCAGCAGATCGTGGTTGTCGGCGCCCTGTCTCTTGGCGAGCTCTCCTCCGGGCGAAAACCTGCAAAGTCAGATACACAGACAAGCTCCAAGCGTTCGACTAAATGAAATGGCCCGGGCGACTACCATCCCTACCGGCTCGCTCGCACCTCTTTGTCCAGGCGAAAGGAGCGGACCTCGCCCCCGGACTGCCCAGACCTGACATACGCGACTAATATTTCGCCTTGACGAAACGATGACAGTCTCCACTCAATTTAGGGCCGCCTTTTCGCCTTGGCGAAAAGACAACGGTCCATGTAGGATGTGGGGATAACTTTTTTGCCTTGGCGAAAAGGTAATAGGCCCCCGCTAAACGCAAGGCCGCCATTTCACCTTAGCGAAATAATAAACGATACGTGAGCCACGCCCCGGGTTTCTCTTTCATCTCCGTGCATTTCGAGTCATTTTGCCGCAGCGAAATGGTGGCCGCATATGGGGCGGTGATGTATGAGCCCCGTGGGGGTGCCCAAAGGCTTGGTGCGCCCCCAACAAGTATGTACCATCCGGTTTTGTTTGTTAGCGTGTCTAACTTAGGTATAATTCTTTTGGCCATATGTCATAATAAGGGCTAGAAGTATATGTGTTCTTGGTTCACGAGAAATCTAACACGATGGACGTCACCAAATTAGGTATAAAAGATCTTTTCGATTGCCGCAGCAACACGCGGGGTATCATCTAGTACTATTTACTATAAACTCGGTCAAAGTTGAGCTAATTTGACTGACATGTTTCCCATAATTGTATTCTTTTGTGGACGGAGATAGTAGTATAATGGCATAAGTGAGCAACTGAATAGACCCAATGACTATCATTGCCAATGATGACTATAATATATATTTTCTTTACAATTTCTAGTATTATCTCTTTTGTAGCAGAGGATTGATGTATATGATGAAGGGTTCAAAATGAATTTCTAAGTTGCATAGGATAGGTCTTCCTGATGAAAAGAAAGGAACAATACTGGTGCCAATCCCTCAACATGTGTGAATTGTGTTATATATCCTATTACAAGAATGTTCTATGCTTAACCTTTCACCTACTATTTAGCTCACAACATAAGGACTACATGGTTAAACTAAACACTTCGAGGCTTGAGAGTCTCAAGCCCTATTGCAACATTATTGAAGAGCGAGGGGAGCTACAAGGCAAGGGAAATAGACAGCTACAAGAGGGAAATAATTAAAAAAGGGAGGAGAAGTGCAAAGGTGGAGACAAAAAAATAGATGTGCCAAAAGCGATAAAACAAAACTAGAGGCTTGGACAGAGAAGATCGTGCAATCTGCTAGATGGCCATGGAAGATCAACATTGCTCACATGGAGTACAAGATGATATGAAGAGAAGAGAAGAGAAGGAGCATGAAATGGCATTAACCGAAAAAGGTTGGAGTTGAATTTGAGTGAAGAGGTGGCCAAGTGGTAGGAGAACAGAGTAGGTGTGGGTGCCTAAGGACAAGGCAGGACGTACATCGACATCGAGGAGTGAGCTTACATGGGAGCTACGTGAGCAGCCTTGAGTCATACTTCAAGAAGCATGTGAGAGGGCTTTCAAGTTTCTCCTAAAAACATAGGAGATTAGGAGGAGGATTCATGGCACTGTCACAAAACTTGTGTTGTAACAAGCATAAGTCGTGAAGGTGCCAGGTCTGTATGATGCATGATAAAAACTTAGACAATTTTGCCTCTAGGGATCGTGTATCTTGTATTAGGAATCAGGGGTATTTGAGTCACTTAACATTGATATATAATGGAGACGGCTGTTTGTGAGGGTTAACTCTTGGAACAACCCTAATTCATTTTTTATCTAGTCTAAAGAGGGCTTCATGTGTAGTATAGGGAAGAGAGTGTCGGGTTTTGAGTGCTCAAGTATCTTGACTTCCACGAGGAGAGGGAGGATGCTTTCTGCTATTTCTATGATTTTTGGGTTATCATGGATTTTTTTAGTCCTTGCTTTTGGTTGGTTGATCTTGATGCTATTAGGACCACGGTTCTGGGATTCGCCCCGAATAGGCCAAATTTCACCGAAATTCGCCCATTTTGGTTGGACCAGAGCCAATACTGAACCGGCCAAAAAAATTCAGCCCATTTTGAATTTGTAGCTCATCTAAAGGTCCAATTTAGCCCACATATACTCCGTGTATATAAACGCGAACCTTAACTTAGAAACCCTAGTTATTTCATTTCTTCCTCCATTCACCTGGTGGCCGACAGCGGCTAGCAGTTGACTCTAAAGTGGAGCACTCGGAGCAGCACCTCTCTACTTCAGCTGCCTCTTGTTCCCATCATTTCTCCTCCTCTGGTTCTAGCACCTAAATCTCTGCCCATTCTTATCCGCGTTCTTCTCCTTGAGGGCCATGTTCATGGAGGTCGCACACACAAATGCACTCAGATGGACCCTCACCATGGGGATGGACAGCAGCGCACACACAGCAGATGCACGGGTTGGTGTTGATGATGCTACGCTTGCGCAGGCAAGATTCGTAGGGCTGGCTTTCAAATTTAGTCAAATTCTGGCCAAATTTTATCAAATTATGAAATTTTAACCAGTCAAAATAAGTGAATCCCGGGCCGAATTTTTCGAAATTCGCCCAATTCGGTGGGCACCGGAATTTTTCAGCTTTTGAATCCCAGAACCTTGATTAGGACATGTGAGAACGTCTCTAGGGTAACCCCTATCAAATCAACCTCTCAAGCATATCCGATTCAAGAGTTTTCTGATATTCCTTTTTTTCAAGAGTTATTCCTAGATCCATGAAATTAGTTGTGAAGCTTTGATATTTTTAAGGAGATATTTTTAGGCAAAGACTCACCATGGTGGCAAAGCTAGGTTAAAATTTTATCAGGTTCGAAGACCAATTAATTGGTTTTTTGTTTTCTCAATTCTTTGGAGTTGTTTTTCCGATTATTTGGAGCTATTTTTATCTGTCAATTTTGAAATTCTCAAATAATTTCAAAAATTCCAAATTAAGTTCAAAAGTTCTAAAGTTCAAGGGATAAAAAGTATCCAAACCCATTGCAAAAATTATGACGGTAATGATACAGAGCGAGCATCCGTCCCGTCGGACGGACCCCGCATGACTGGACCGACCGCGCCTCATCTTATCCGCCGATGCGGCTCGACTCCCTCCCATCCATCCGTCCCGTGACCACACCTCCCTCGTTCGCTCTGCTCTGCTCGCGCCGCTCTCTCGTTCTGCTCGCCCTCTCCTCCTCCCGCTCCCCCACTCTCTCGCTGCTGGCACGCAGCGCTCGGGCGCCGCCGTCCCTCCCTCACTACGCGACTTCCATGCCACTAGAGAGGAAGGCGAAGGCGGCGGCTTCCGGCGAGCCGCCTCTCCCTCCCTCTCTCCGTGACCTCCATGCCACTAGAGAGGAGGGCGACGGCGGCGGCTTCCGACGAGGTAGGTGGGTCCTTCTCTGGATCTGAGCCCTCTTTCTCCTCCTCCTCCTCCTCCTCCTCTGAATCTGAGCTCTCCTCCTCCTCCTCTTCTTATGGATCTAGATCTGAGGGACGCGGCCGTGGCTAGGGTTACGGCGAGCTCTGTTGCACTAGGCTTGTTTTGCTATCGCAACAAGTAATATTTTTTGTTGCATTAGTCTTTTTTCTGATGTTGCATCTCGCATTGCACTTTTTGTTTCTGTTGTTGCAGTAGCGTTGTTTTGCTGTTGCAACAATTAAATTTTCTTTGTTGCATTAATCTTTTTTCTGATGTTGCATCTCGCATTGCGCTTTGTTTCTGTTGTTGCAGTAGCTTTGGTTTGATGTTGCAACAATTAATTTTTCTTTGTTGCATTAGTCTTTTTTCTGATGTTGCATCTCGTATTGCAGTAGCTTTGTTCTATTGTTGCAGTCATTTTTATTCTGATATTGCAGTAAACTTGTTCTGATGTTTCACCTCGTATTGCGTTTTGTTTGATGTTGCAAATAATTTTCTGATGGGAGCGCGGTGAGGATGCGACACACCTAGCTTGGGGGAACGGGTGATGCGGCGGGCGAGCGGGTTCCGTTCTATTCCCATGGCGGGGCGGGCGGTTTTGGGAAGCGGGGAACGACGTTCCGTTCTATTCCTGCGGGGGGTCGGGTGGGGAAGAGAAGTGAGCGGCGTTTTCCGTTCGCGTTCTATCCCGTGTGGACAATGGCGGGCGGGTTTGGGATGGCTCAGTGCGAAGGGCCCGGCGTCCTGACGTGTCTCGCACGCCGGACGTCCGAGCGCTAGCAGCGCCAAAATTATGATGTAGGTTCAGCAGTTCCAAAGTTGCATAGAGGAAAAACATCCAAACTCATTTCAGAAGTTCTGAAGTTTGGCAAAGGACAAATGCCTGAACTCATTTCAGAAGTTTTGACCTGATTACATAATTTGACGTTGTGTGCTTTTGATTTCTTCTCTCAAGTTTTGCTTCTGCGTTTGTTTTCATTGTGTTTCTGTAGCAGTTTCTGGGCTCAGTAGATCCAATGAGTTGTGTTTCTATATAGCATTGTTACTAGGCTCAGTTGATCCAATGTAACTATGTGAGCTTGGCGATTACTAGAAGAGAAGTCAACAATTAATTTTGGACATGCCTAGATTGTTTCTGGAAAAATTATTTGCTTCGCATTCACTTCCTTCTAGTCATTACACTCCCTAAGCTAAAATATGACCAACTTTGATGGATAAAGGTAATGTGTATGTGGTCAGTACTAGACTATTTTTTTATAATATGCTCCTTCCGTCCCTAAGAAATAGATTCCTAGAGGCATCTTAGTTAAACTTTTTAAATTTTGACCGAATTTCTAAAAAAAATCTATCAAGATTTATGACATCGAATTGGTATCATTAGATATACCATATAATATATTTTCATAATATGATTTATGTCATAGATGTTGTTACTCTTTTCTAAGTTAGTCAAACTTAAAATAGTTTGACTTGCACGGATTCTAGAAATTGATTTATTTTAAGACAGAGGGAGTAATAAAAAACATATAACCAAGCCACTAAGACATCTTGTCCAAGCTAAACTTGAATTTATAAAACACTAGAGTTTATATGGTTTACTTATAACTACAATTATATATCACAGAACAAAAGCCTCTCGCTAGCATAAATGAGCGCCTGTTAGGAGGCTGGCCTATAATAACAGAGACCCACCTCTGAAAATGGTCTGAGTTTTCAAAGGTGGAATCTTTTAAGAGGCTTGCCTTTGTTAATACATTTTAAGAGTAGGTACTATACTGTGCGTCTTCATAAATATGCCAACCACTTCTAAAAAAACGCTGTGTATTTTTAGAGATATGAATATTGTTTTTTACCGTCTTTGTAAATTAAATGGGCTATCTCCTAAATCGTTTGTGTAGCAGTGATAATGACAACCCGTGACCAGGAAAAAGAAAGACTATTGCCAAGACATCATCTTGTGTTTCTCAAAAAAAAAAAACTAAGACATCATCTTGTCCAAGCTAAACTTGAATTTATAGAACACTAAAGAGTTTATATGGTGTATTTAGCATACTATATATCACAGAACGAAAACCTCTGACTCTCGCCAACATAAATGTCGAACGCCTGTTCATGTTCTGCAGCTACACATCAGCCACAAACCAGAGACAAACACAAGCAGCAACTCTGCTGTGAGCACGCACGCATCATGTACACTGCACAAGAAGAGATCAATGGTTCCACCGCTCCCGGCCGGTGGCAGTCGATAGCTCAACTCAATACCACGGCGAGTCCGGGAGCGCAGTGATGACGCTCTTGACCTGCAGGTACTTCTCCATGGCTGCCAGCCCCTGGTCCCGGCCGAATCCGCTCATCTTGTACCCGCCGAAGGGCGCGTCCGGGTCGAAGGCGTAGTAGCAGTTCACCCACACGGTGCCCGCGCGCACCGACCGCGACACCCGGTTGGCGATGTCCAGGCTCTTGGTCACGATGCCGGCGGCGAGCCCGTACTTGGTGCAGTTGGCCTTCTCGATCACCTCATCAACCGTCCTGGAATGCATGATGGAAGAAGAGATGTGCAAGCAACGACGGTCAGTCAGAATGCAAGGGATTGGCTTCCATCATACCAATTTCGGTGTTAGTGTGTGGTGTACGTACCTGAACTTCATAAGGGACATGACGGGACCGAAGATCTCTTCGTGCGCGATCTTCATGTCCTCCTGCTCAATCCATCCATATGAGCATGCTTCAGTGACTTGCCATTGTTTCTAATTGCAGTAATGTATGTATTTTCGATGTGTTGTGCTTGTCGAACTTACCGTGACATCGACAAAGATGGTGGGCTCAATGTAGTACCCTTTGTCGGCGGCGGGCTTGCCGCCGGTGAGCAGGGTCGCTCCCTCGCTCTTGCCATGCTCAATGTACTTTAGGACCCTCTCAAATTGGTCCTTGTCAACCTAGCACGACGAACAAATTTATTCATTCAGATCCTTTCGCCATGAACTTGACTAGACGACAGTCAAACAGAGCACATGCTCCGATATGATCATACCTGAGGACCCATGTTGGTGGTGACATCGAACGGGTCTCCAACCTTCCAGCTCTGCGCGGCCTCCACGGCCTTCTTGACGAACTCGTCATAGATCCCTTCCTGCACGTACACGCGCGATCCCGCGACGCAAACCTCTCCCTGGATTTACATGCATGTTTCATCATCAGGCATCGTCAGAACGGGTCTCGGTTGTTAACCAAAAAGAATTCTGCAGTCTGCACATCAGCATTTGTACAGTGTTGCCTGCAATGCAACGCCATACCTTGTTGTAGAAGATGGCGAGCCGCGAGAGGTTGACGGCCATGTCGACGTCGGCATCGTCGAAGACGATGAGCGGTGACTTGCCGCCGAGCTCCAGCGAGACCATCTTGAGGTTGCTCCGCGCGGCCGACTCCATGATGAGGCGACCCACCTCTGTGGAGCCGGTGAAGGCCACCTGAACAATCCAATGTGAATAATCCAATGTGCCAAGCCAAGTGGTTCAGACGACTAGCGACCAGTGCGGCGTGCTCACGCTGTCGACGTCCATGTGGGAGGTGAGCGCGGCGCCGGCGGTGGGGCCGAACCCGGGGACGACGTTGATGACTCCGTCCGGAACGCCGGCCAGCTTGGCGAGGTGCGCGTAGTAGAGCGCGGAGAGCGGCGTCTGCTCGGCGGGCTTGACGACGACGGTGCACCCGGCGGCGAGCGCCGGGCTGACCTTGAGGAAGAACATCATGGTGGGGAAGTTCCACGGGATGATGACGCCCACGACGCCGACGGGCTCCTTGAGCGTGTACCCCTGGTACTTGCCGGAGACGCGCAGCACCTCGCCGTGGATCTTGTCGGCGGCGCCCGCGTAGTAGCGCAGCATCTGCGTCGCCAAGGGGATGTCGATGATCTTGCCCAGCAGCACCAGCTTCCCGGCGTCCGCGCCGTCCAGCGCCGCCAGCTCCTCCGTGTGCTGCTCCACCAGGTCCGCCAGCTTGCTCATGATCCGGCCCCGCTCCTGGTGGTTCGCGCGGCGGCGACATCATTTCATTTCAGTACGGTACCACCAAATTTGCATTGTCAGATAAGCTACAGTGACTTTGCAAGTTTGCATTGCAAATGGCAAAATGAGCTGCGGCCTGCGGGGACTTACATAGCCTGACATGCGGGGCCACTTGCCGTGCTCGAAGGCGTCCCGGGCGGACTTGACCGCCAGGTCCACATCAGCTTTGTCTGCCTCTGCTATGTGGGCCAGCACGTCGCCGGTTCGTGGGTCCCTGGTCTCGAACGTCTTGCCTGCGAAACGAAATGCGTTGAGAGAGAGATAAAATTCACATCCTTCTCATGTCACAATGTACCTCTTTCTAATCAATCCGTCATGTTTGGAAAAATACAATTCTAACATAGTACTAGGTCAAGATATGCTAAATTTAATCAAATTTATTAAAAATATCAATATTTATGAATTATGTTACCAAATTAGTATGGTTAGATTCGTAATGAAATATATTTTGGTGTACACCTATTTTATTTATAAAATAAATATTTATATTTTTTCTATAAACTTGATCAAACTTTAGAAGGTTTCACTAAAGATAGCTAGAGCTACAATTGTCCTTTTTCGGACACAAGTAAATACCAAACCATAAGTAGTGTGTGTTAGGAATTGAAGTCAATGCCATGCAGATGCAGGGATGAACTTTCAAGGGACTTGGGCATGCTGAGAAGAAAAGGGAAAGGAAGAACTAGGAACATCAACAATTTGGATTAAAATTCTTCATGGGGGCATCTTTATGGTTTTGAACTTTGTTGCGTGGTATCACAAAAACTAATGACGAAGGGGGAGTGGCTAAAATGTGAGAGTAGGGGCTCAAATCTAGTTGAGAGTAAACAATGTGGGTCAGTTGACTCATGCTTAAACAAATGTGGGTTTGATAGAGAAACCTAGCAAAGGAGTTCCAAATTTTTATAATCTAAGGTGGTGTCGTGAAATTGACTGACAATACAAAAAGAAGTTGTGGTATCCTTCCCATGACAAAAAAGTATTCCATGCCCACCTGGAGCTAATCGATGGAATTTGTAGCATCCCTCACCTGCCCAGGACTCATGCTATTTTTTCCTTGAACTAAACTTTGTTCCACGAAAAATGTATGTACATTGCATGAATATCACATATTATTATAATATCCTCTAACTTAAAGGTTTGTGAAACCTAGCAAGGAGCACTGGGGAAAAAAAAGAAGTTGTGCCTTTGTTTCCATGCCCACATTATCGATAGGGAAACTCACTACTGGTTGAGTAACATATATATATATATATATATATATATATATATATATATATATATATATATATATATATATATATATATATATATATGTTCTTCTTGTGATGTGACAGCAACAGGCAACATCCGTCGTAGAACAGCTGGTCATCCACATATACGTATATTTGATCTGTCGAGTGTACCTATTTATATCCTTTCAGATTGGTATAAATAAAAATTTTAGTGCAAAAAACTATTTCTACAACTGTTTCTTCGGCTAAATCTGTAACTGTTTTTATTCTGTAGAAGTTTTTTTGCTCATCAAAGATAGAAAGCTTTCTAACGTACAGACAAAATATAGAAAAGAAAAGTCGTAGAGGGATGTTTGGTGAGATATAAGAAGCGATTTTTATTGGAAACGGTTGGAGATGCCCTTTTTTTATTTACAAGTTTATAGTGGTTGAAAAAATGTAAACCGTCCATTAGTTTATATTGGATGGTGGAAAAATGCAAAGTACCAAAAAATATTGAAAAATACAAAAATATGTGGGACTAGTACCCAAACATGTGGAACCAGGTAAAAAAAGAGAGAAAAGATAGTTCATGTCACACCCACCGAGATCGAGGTGTGCCTACCCTTTGCATGTTCGTTTCGGTTGGATTGATTTATAAGTCATGGCTGAAAGTACTGTTAGCTGATTTGGTATGAGAGAAAAATATTATTTAAGTCATGGATTATAAGTCAGATACGAGCAATCCAGCCGAAACGAACAGGCTGCCTGTAGTCCAGTACCCATCCATGACCACGGCCGCCGCCATCGCGATGACGAACTTTGTGCTTAAGGAAGAAAACATTCTCACGCTGGCCGAGAAAACTCCCAAACATCGTGTCCCGCCCTTACACAGGGGTCTAGTACCGTGTGAGTGGGCCAATCTATTTAACGTGTGCTTTAAAAAACTCGAGACAAAGAGAGGATTTTTTTTAAATCCAGCAGGAGAAGGAACGCACCCTGCACGCGACACTGTCGACCGGACATCCCGACCATCTGGTCCGAGGAGCCGTTGGCTCCCTTCCCATGTGTCAGCGCCCACCGTAAATAAAAATAGAGATGGCAACGTAACAAAGGCCCTTGTTTGTTTGTCAAAATAAAAAATAGAAAGTAGGAAAAGTACTCGTAGTACTTGAAGGCTCTTTTTTTATATTGTTGGCGATGCAACCAACTGAATGGCCGGACCGGCGGAGGACGTTCAGGTTTTGACCTATCTATATATTCTAGTCGATCCTCTATGTGTTGCGCGCGTACTGTATACAAAAAATATATACACGAGTTTTGCGAAGGCCGGTGGAATAAAATTGTTCCAATTCGGAAATTTTAATTTTTTTTGTTAAGAAATAAGGTTGCAAGAAATATCCTGCACGGTGTCGCTTTTTTTAACCCCTGGAAGTCTGGTAGATACTACCCGGCAGTTCCGGGCGAGTCGGACGGCAACAATGCAGGTTGCACATATGCGTCGTTGGAACAAATTAAACAAACGGACGCCATCAGTGACGTGCACCTAGCTAGTACTGTATCTATCTGGCATCTCAACGAACAACGTTGACGGACCCAACAAAGACGTTGCAGCACAAGACGATACATGCATAGATCCAGATTTCACGCGTATAGGAACATGTACGCATGGACCTGCAAAATGCAAAGTTGACGGGGTCTATCGGATGGTTGGATGCATATATATATTATGAACACAGCTTTTCATTCCTCTAGAAAAGTTATATAGTACTGTATTGGTTGCAATTATATAGCATAAATAAAAAACACTGGAACTCTAAAAAAAATTCAGAAATATTCCAATACGGCGGCTTCGATGGAAACAGCCCCCCCAAAAAAAACCCAGTTATGCAGCAGCCTGTGGAAAGAAAAAGGAGGCGCCGAGTTTTAAGGCGAAGGCGAAAGCAAAAGCAATATACCTATTCCTAGTGATCATCTCGATCGAGTTCATTCAATTTAGAGCTACGAATGAAGAAGAAAGGAATGGAACGGTACCGGAGGCGGCGTCGACGAAGCCGCCGTTGATGAAGAGCTTGGTGAACTTGATCTCCGGCACCACCACGCCAGCCGGCGCCGCCTTGCCGTTGCCGTTGCTCGCCATTGATGCCTGCTAGCTGCCTCTGCCCCTCCGTCGACTCGTCTCTGATGGATGGAGAAGAGTCCTGGATATCCTGCTGGCCTCGGGCCTCTTATATATATATACACACACGGGAAGATGTAGAAACAGAGGACCAGACGATGTACTCGCTGCAGTCCTGCAGAGGAGAGAGGCCTCCTGGGGCGTTGGACTTGAGAAAGCAGAATATATTTATTCACTATGTTTATTTATGTGTAATATTGTACAGTCATCTGCTCTAATAGTTGGGCTTTATACTGTGTCTCGAAGATTTATGAACGATCATGTCATCTGCTCTAATAATTAGGCTCTATACCATGTGTGCAGATGCGTGGTAATCGAAACATGGTTTCGTGTTAAATTATGTGTGTTGACTTTAAAATAGAAATGTTGTCTTGTGTTAAATTTGGATTGATGATATGTGCACGGCAAAAGTGAGGTGATGTGAGATGAGCCGACAGACAAAAAAAAGGTGCGGGGAGTGAAAAATTCTCCATTTAATATTAAACAAATAAATGCTAGTGCAATAGGAAAATGGAATCCCATGTGTAAATGATAATAAGCTAGTAACTTTTATTGAATTTAATTAGGCTTGTTCAACCTTAAATCAAATAGATTTTAAATCCCAAAATAAATGCTGGTGCAATAGAAAAAATGAAATCCCGTATGTAAATGATAAGATATTGGCTTAATTTAAATAGATGGCTATTATTTTTAATTGTTTTACCTTTTAACAAAGGTGAAACGTAAGCCACACACCAGCACGTGTGTTGGGCCGCAAAAAGCTCGCGCGACTAGCCTATGACATAAGTGGTGCCATCAACAAAAGTTTTGTAACTCTGTTCTTCAAGCGAGAAGCGTGAAAGTTAGAGATGGAAGAATGCAAGTTTTCACCTTCCAAAGAGTCAAATAAATTCAAGTCTGACCAAATTTATATAAACTATATTAATATTTGTGATGTCAAATAAGCATTATTAGATCACTTTAAAATAATATATTTTCACAATAAACCTAGAACTATAAATATTGATATCTCAAACATAAAAAAGTTTAATTTTATCTCAAATTTATAACTATATATTTTTCTATATAGGAAGTAGTATTAGATACTTTTGCTTTTAAATTAATATTACATAAGTATAGATATGGATACGTATATCCGATGCATCGTAACGGATCTCAATCTCTACTTGGTGATATCGACGTGGTGCATGTATACATAAATAAATAGAGAAAAATTTATATAAGGAGGTCAACTCTGTACCTGTCACATCAGATAGCTTAGCTCCATCTGCTCAGCTCAACACACATATGCGCACACGCATGCTGCGTGTCCAAGGTATTTCATCCGCGGTTGCCAACGACCTTACAGACGGCGAGATCAAGGGCGGCTTGCTAGGCGGCCACGTTCTCATGTTCCTCTGTTGCTGCCGGCGGCCTGCTTCAATATTCTTCTAGACATCAACAATTTCCCAACAGACTGCAGGTCACAATTACAACAGCATGTGTGGAATTTTTCTTCAGCTTAACTGTTCATACACATACGGCCCCCGTTTGACGTGCAACGCAAATGCACGCTTTCTGCTAAGAAAAGTAGTAGTAGGACGAAATAAAATGTTTCCGAGCAGAAATGGTACCCCGTATCCGTTGAAAATTAAGCTAGAACCGTAACCATAATTTGTCTTGCAAGGTTGCAAATTGCAACAACCGTCAACCCGTCTGATCTGTAAGCGCTAGATCATATGGGGGCTGCTAGTGCGAGTTGGTTCATTTGTTTACAGCCAGAAGAAGAGGTCCAGGCCGGGGGACGGCTAACCTGACGCCACAACGTAACCTCCACAAGTATTGAAATCAGGCTCTTTATTTAATATATATATATATATTGCTCGCCTGATTTAAAATTGATAGACCCAAGTAGCACAAGTCTGATGAACAATCCAAAGAATATTCCCAATTCTTGCATGAGCTCACAAGCAAAGCAACTACTTCAGCCTAATTGGATGCTCGTTGCGACCTTTAAGTAAAGGAGATCATACACTGCATTATGGAGCGTACTATGCCGCGTAACAAGATGTTGACTTTGGGAGCAACTGGAGCCTGGGACTGGGAGGCTGCTATGGAGCCTAGCCACGGCAGTAGAAAGAGCAGTGGATTTATACATGATAAGTGTATGGTCAAATCTGTTGATGCTTGGAGCAATCAGAGTTCAGAGTTCAGACACTTTGTTGATTTGCCTCTGGGTGTTCTGACCTCCATATAGTATTGGCCCATAATAATTTAATATCTCGGATCGGATGGAATATGCCTATGGACGAGCCGTTAATTCATAGTTGTGTACACTATCCAAAACGGACTCCTTTGCTGTCATGCAGCAACATCAGAAAGAATCATCTCCGATGGGACATCCTCATTTATTTAGAAAAGAATTGTCAATTTGCAATCTCTGTTGAATTAAATTATTCCAAGAGAATGTGACTTGCACTTTTATGATATCGGAAATCATTCATAAAACTAATGTAGCAACATGGTCCTACAGGACGATTAACAAACAGGGATTCACACAAAGTCAATGGTTGTCTGTTAAATAGTCAGATACACTGTATTCATGAGCAGAGCAGACAGCAATGTACGAGATCAGAGGCACAGCGAAATGTAGACAACGGTTTCCTTCTGCTTATACCTTCCAGGCCTTGTTTAGATTGCAAGTTTTTTCACTCTCTCTCCATCACATCAAATCTTTGGACACATGCATGGAGTATTAAATGTAGATAAAAAATAACTAATTACACAGTTTGATTGTAAATTACGAGACGAATCTTTTGAGCCTAGTTAGGCCATGATTGGACAATAATTATCAAATACAAACGAAAGTGCTACAGTGCCCAATACTGATTTCTAACCTCAATCTAAACAAGGCCCCAATAAGAAATTCACCCATGCATCTCTATCATATATTCATATTGGAAATGATGATATGGCAAACGTTGCCACCAGAAATGTTCAGAAGAAAAGAAACCAACGGTACGTTGTCGGTGAAAAGAAATACTGAAACATGCTCTTCAACCTATCAGATTCAGACGCCACACCAGTGCGCACTGCGCACAACTGAAAGCAGTCCGAAACATGTCTTTGTTGTTCTGAACAAGTCCATGCTACTACATTGTACTACATCATCAATCCATGCAGGTAAGAGTACATAACTACAGCCAACCCATCCTTTTTTCCTTTTATATCTTCTGTGATAATATAAGGCATGTTTCTTCTTGTTTTTTTTTTCAGTGTGCTGTTCAATTGTTGATAGGATTGGATGAGATCAGAGCCAGGGCGTGTTGTATAGAGGAGTGACCACGGTCTTGGTCTGCAAGTATTTCTCGAGGGCGTCCATGCCCATGTCCTTGCCGAATCCGCTCATCTTGTACCCACCGAACGGCGCGTCGGGGTCGAACGCGAAGTAGCAGTTGATCCAGATGGCACCTGCGCGGATGGACCGCGATACGGTGTTGGCGATGTCGATGTTCTTGGTCACGATTCCAGCCGCCAAGCCGTACCGGGTGTTGTTTGCTTTCTGAATCACCTCCTCAACGGTCCTACAATGTTTACAGTTCAATTGTTTTAGAAGACTTTCAGTTTCAGCTGTCAGACTGACAAAATGGTGAGGGAAGAAGCATATATATATACTTGAATTTCATGAGCGCCATCACCGGCCCAAAGATTTCGTCTTGTGCGATCGTCATGTTGTCCTGCATATATGAACATATTTATTTAGTTATTAAAAATGTTCAGTATTTGTTTTTGCTTCCATGTCCATTGAAAATAGAATCTGTTTTTCAAATGAAGCATTTGACCTTGACGTCCGTGAAGATGGTGGGCTCGATGTAGTAGCCCTTGTCGCCGCAGGGCTTCCCTCCGGTGACCAGCGTGGCGCCTTCCCGCTTTCCGATGTCAATGTACTTGAGAACCTTCTCGTACTGGTCCTTGTCGACCTGCATTGCAAATGCAATTTCACAGCGGTTGATCAACAGTTGGTCACAGTCACAGCACCCTGATACCCTGACGTTCCTCGTTCCATACCTGAGGGCCTTGATTGACACGCGGGTTAAACGGGTCCCCGACCACCGACTTCTTGGCGAGCTTGGCGGCCTTGTTCACGAACGCGTCATAGATCCCTTCCTGCACGTAGATGCGTGTGCCGGCGACGCAGATCTCGCCCTATATATTGTTGCAGTCGCAGAGGCGATGAGAGACTACTCTGCTCGTTGCTCGATCCCAAGAAACAAACTGGTGGCACATATACCTTGTTGGTGTACGTGGCCAAGTTGACGAGGTTGACGGCCATGTCGAGATCCGCGTCGTCGAAGACGATGACCGGCGACTTGCCACCCAGCTCGAGCGACACGGGCTTGAGGTTGCTCTCGGCCGCCGCCTTCATGACGACCCGTCCGACCTCCGTGGACCCCGTGAAGCTGACCTTGTCGATGCCCATGTGCGATGCGACGGCGGCCCCCGCCGTGGGTCCGAACCCGGGGACGACGTTGAGCACGCCGTCGGGGACGCCGGCCTCCCTGGCGAGGTGCGCGTAGAAGAGCGCGGACAGCGGCGTCTGCTCGGCGGGCTTGACGACGACGGTGCACCCAGCGGCGAGGGCCGGCCCGACCTTGAAGAAGAACATGGTGCTGGGGTAGTTCCAGGGCACGATGTGGCCCACCACGCCCACGGGCTCCTTGAGCGTGTACCCGTGCATCCGCTGCGCCATCTTCAGCGTCTCGCCGTGGATCTTGTCGGCGGCGCCCGCGTAGTAGCGCAGCAGGTGCGCCGCGCCCGGGATGTCCCGGATCTTGCCGACCAGGAAGAGCTTGCCGGCGTCCACCGTGTCCAGCATCGCCAGCTCCTCCACGTGCGAGTCGATCAAGTCCGCGAACTTGTGCAGGATCCGCCCACGCTCCTGCTCGATCCAGCGCAAGTTTTTTTGGCGCCAAACAAAGCCACACGCGGTCATTCAGTTTGAGTTTTTGATTGAACAAAGGGTAACCGAGCTGGGCCTACAACTACGTATCGATCCGGGCCTGGGAATCGAGATCCTTACGTAGCCCGTCATCCTGGGCCAGGGCCCGTTGTCGAAGGCCTCCCGGGCGGCCTTGACGGCGAGGTCGACGTCGGCCTTGTCTCCCTCGGCGATGGTGGCGATCACCTCGCCGGTGCGAGGGTCCCGGGTCTCGAATGTCTTGCCTGCGCAATCCATCACGGTAAGAATTTCGTCACCAAAAAAATTTAAAAATCACGGTAGTAGTAATTTTTTTTTCAGGTTCATTCAGAGTTTGCAGAATATATTTTGAGCGAGCAAAAAGAATGGATAAGCATGTTTAGTAGCAGCTTATATTAGTACACACCCAATCTGTTCCCCTTCACGCACAAAGCCAGCTTACGGAAGTCAAAGTTTACAAACATCATCTCTCGGTGTCTTTTTAATTTAAGAATTTAAATTTGACTCATTTTGTAAAATAAAACCATGGTTGGAATATTTGTGCTTTTGGCGCGCGGTAGTGCCGTCCGACACAAGTATGTGTCCACTTGCATTACAGTTTACCAAAGGCACTAAGGCAGAGATGCGTTTACATAACTTGTCATTTACCGAACGTCACGTGATAGCAACACCATATATAATCCATGGAGTGGACTAATTGCTACTTGTCAGTCGTTGTCATTAGTCTCACATGCATGCTATTGTGATAATAAATCTTTTTTTGGTCTTGGTTGATACATATGTGTCAACAGTTTTAGCAGACATTTCAAAGCAAATATACTCCCTCTATTCTAAATTATAAGCCGTTTTGACTTTTGTAAATACATATATTTTGTTGTGCACTTAGATATGCACTATGTCTAGATATATAGTAAAATCAATATATCTAGAAACCCAAAACGTCTTATAGTTTGGAACATAGCGAGTACTCCTCGATCTTCCGGAGAGAGATATCAGAGTAACAAACAAAAGAAAAAGCCAAGTGGACCAGCCCAGACCCAATCACAAGACTTGAGGTGGGGGACGCACACAAGAGATGAACATTATTCAGCGGCGCCAATGCAAGTTGACAGCCCATTTAGCCCGACAGCCAGGCATGCAATGCGATAAGAGGCAGAGACCAGCGTCATCAGGAAAAGAAAAAATAATACTCTCTCTGTTCCCGAACAAATCAATTTTTAGAATCCGTGCCAGTCAAATTTCCTAACTTTGATTAATTTTATAGGAAAGAGTAACAACATCTATGACATAAAATGAATACATTATAAAAATATATTCAATCATACATCTGACAATATTAATTTTATGTCATAAATCTTGACAGATTTTTCTAAAAATTCGATCAAAGTTTAAAAAGTTTGACTCGTGACAACTCTATGAATCTATTTATTCAGGTACGGGGAGAGTACCGGTGAGCAAGCGTGGCTGTGTGGGTGCATTGTTTTTTATTTCATGACGCGAGAAGCTGGCAACCTGAAGTCATGCATGCTTGCTCCGGGTAGAATCGTTTTGGAGCTAGCAAGCATCACCCCAGAGCAAGCAGACGGGCAATGGGCCAAAAGAGCAGCAAAGATATATGCCGGTTGCTTGCTGATTGATTAGAATAGAAGCATTAGTAATTGTTCTGCAACATCAACTGTCTTGGTAGTGATGGTGCTCTGCTCTGCTCTGCTTTGTGTTGTGTCGTTTGTGGCTGTTGTGATTGTGACCGTGCTGATGTTGGAATTAGTATCATTAATTCCACTAGGTTGAAAGCGGTTTTTTAGTGGTGGTGTTTCGTGGTTCACGTTGTCATGGATTTATCACATGGTTGTCAAAAGTTACGGAAAAAAGGAACAGCAGGTAATGCATTGGAATCTTCGTAGAGATAATTTGTAGTAAATTCAGTGATGATATTTAGGTAGGGTTTCTTTGGATCCTCGTAACTTATTGTAACAAAGCTGCAGTAGCTGTGGTAAACAAGTTTATAACTTTTTATAAACTGGGTGGTTGGATACCTCAATCAAAATATACTATAAGCTGGACGTGTGGCAAGGGAGCAATCTTGGTTGTTTTCGCCAGCTAGAGATCTTTTTACCAGCTTTCTATAAACTCTAGTTGATTCAAACAAGGCCTTACTTGTACATGGCGAGAATTCATAAGCTTTTGAGTACAATAATAGACTGTACAAGAACTATATATACTTTTCTTAACTAGGTGATGATAATGATTTACTTTGCATAGGAGGGAGTAAAATTTTCCATGCGTGATGTAGTTTGATGCTGCTCTGCTTTTGTTTTGCCTGTGGCTGTCATGATGGTGGATTGGTGGTGATGGTGAAATCAGCATTATCCACCTCGCTTGCATTTGCAAGTGCTGTCGTTCTAAAGTAGTCTAGACTTTGTTATTATTATTACTGCGTAGTGGTGGTGCACGTGTGGTTTTGTCTGGCTTTGTAATAATAGAGGAAAATGGGGGAAATTAATAACTCCCTTGCAAAATGGCGCCAAGAGACGACTCAGGTGAGCTTTTGTTTGGTCGATCGGGATATGCAACTGCACAAGCCCGCACGGTGGTTTCTACACAGGTTCTAGTTGGCAAGTGCCCTGGACGTCTGGGTGGCTGAGGACGCGTACATCTGTCCATCTATCCATTAGCTACCAAACGAACAATGAGCCAAAAGCCAGCACCACAGAAATACAGGTGATTGCTCCCTGCCTTGGCGTGTCTGTGCTATCATTTTTCTCCTAATTAAATTACTACTCTTTCCACGTTCTGATTTATAAATCATTCTACATTTTCTAGATACATAACTTTTAGTATGTATTCTAACATCATGTATATATATATAGGCTACGCACTAAAAAAATCAGAACGACTTACGGTATGAAACAGAGGGAGGACATGGTTATATAGAAGTTCTGAAAAGGTAGTAATACAGTAATGCACTAGAACCCTGCAAAGCGAATTCAGGCGCTTTTGTGTATACTACTAGACGACCAGATGTTTGGAATGCTGACGTGTCTAGGGAGGGCTTTCTATCTAGAAATGGATAGTAGTCAATCTGGACTAGATACAAGTAATCAGCTGTGTTTGTATATGATCGATGCGTGATGTTGATTCCATCCGATGTCTTTTTGTTTACGGCGGCTGTGGTGATAAAATGATGGGATGGCGAAATTAAGCATTATCTTCCGTCATATTTGACAAAAGCTGTTCTTATTGCGTAACCGTGGTGCACGTGGCCGTTAATAAAAGACGAAGCATACCATATGTAGCTAGGGGCAGTAATGCAACCCCTATTAAGAGCAGGTACGATAATAGGCTTATAGCCAAGCTAATGCTGATGTGGAGGAGAGAGAAGAGTTTGGCTCTTATGCAAGCATCAAACTAGGCACGAAAGCATAGGTATTAGTGTGTCCACCTAGCAAGTGTTGTGAGGAGGACTAGAAGAGAGAGACTTTTTAAAGATAGATAGGAGGCACTTATTGCATAACTTGACTCTTATATCTTATCTTATAGCTAAGCAACTTAGCTCTATTATTAACCTTGCTCTAACACACGGCATGAAGTCTTCAGGCTCGTTTGGCTGTTCAAGCCACGTGGATTGGGATGGATTTATGTGCAGCAAAACGAAGCCTTCGTGGAATGGCCAAACCATTTTCAAGACTCCCCGAAAGTTTCCAAACTGCCGTGCCAATAATCTGCCAACGACGTACTGTGGTATTTTACCTTCTCACGCAATTGCTTATACGGGGACGAGAGAGGGATCCAAGCATGCATACCCTTTAGTCGTTATTAGTTAGGCCTAGGAATAATGTGTATGTAGCCCATCCCAATCCCAAGAGAGATCGAAAAAGGTCAGCTAGAGTTGGGCCAAGAGAAATTATTAGCACCCGTATTCAATCAAATCCTCTGAGGATATTTAAAACTGATGAAAATGAACGGAAACAAGTTTGACTCTGATATAGTATTATTTGTCCAATAGATTGGAGGATGTGATGTAGGCAATTGATGGATCGAGGTACGCTAACTGCACGAGAGCACAGACTACTGAAATTTTCAACAGAAATAGGTTGGCAGGTCCCGGTCATACAGATGCATGCTGGTGACCTTTTTTCAGTTTGGAAAAGCAGCAGCGGACGCATATGGCTTGTTGAGGCAGCAGGCAGGCAGGCATGTGTGTGTGGTCGATGAGTTTGCACGAATCTGGGAAGTCGATCGGAAGCTATCAGATTAGAAGACCCACGAGGAGGCCACAGCACGGGTAACTAATGCTAGTACATTTGCTTTGTGCCGTTTGGAATTCGATCGACACGGGCTTAATTTTGGTGCTAGACGGTTAGCCTCCTGGCCCGGCCGGTGGTCACTGTCAAGCGTCAAATGATGATGGGTTAATTAGAAGGTTGTCGATACCTGTGTGGTCGATGAGTTTGCACGAATCTGGGAAGTCGATCGGAAGCTATCAGATTAGAAGACCCACGAGGAGGCCACAGCACGGGTAACTAATGCTAGTACATTTGCTTTGTGCCGTTTGGAATTCGATCGACACGGGCTTAATTTTGGTGCTAGACGGTTAGCCTCCTGGCCCGGCCGGTGGTCACTGTCAAGCGTCAAATGATGATGGGTTAATTAGAAGGTTGTCGATACCTAGCGGTCTGAATGAATGAGATATACTGCAGAGAGACGCAACGTGTACACGCGCGCGTGTTCCTTTAATTAATTTACCCATGGCCGGCGCGTCGCCCCCCTTTATTTTAGTTTTCATCTCTACGACTGCTAGTTGCCTTTTGCCTTTTTCTTTGGTCGTCACGTAGGCTGCGTTCGGCTGATCTTAAACCCGACTTGATCCGGTTTTTTTTTTACTGGAACCGTATTTTTCTCTCACAAAATATTAGTCGCTACAGTACTTTTCAGCCGCTACGGTAAAAGTTTTGGGTCAGCCGAACACAGCCGTAGCTTTAATTTAGACACCCTGTTAAAGCGCCATAGTAGTATATAGGGCCTCTTTAGCAGGGCTCCTGCAAAAACTTCAGCTCCGGCTCCTATAGAAGCTGTGTCAAACGTCTGTTTTAGAAAGGGCTCCGCATGGGGAGCCGGTCAAGAGCCGGAGTCATTTTTTGCCTGCGCAGGAGAAGCCTAAAAAACGAGCTTCGCGTGGCTCCTTGCTATGAGTTCACGTCGTCTATTGCGAGGGAGCCGTTTTGTCAAACGTTTTCCAGAACAGCTTCAGCTCCTCCAGAGGAGCTACTCCTTCAAAGAAGCTAAAGCCAGAGCCATTTTTAGAGAAGCCAGAACCCTGCCAAACAAAGTCATAGTTAAAAGTATAGTACTACCAAGAAGAACGAAGAGACCTCATCCGTATGTATGCACCGTTCGTTAATTTGTGACATTGACCAACCACGAAGGGTGAACATCCATTTAATCTAGGTAGTACGTTAATAAATAAATGAGATCTAGGAAGCTAGCTAGTAGCCCGTAAATTAACAAATCAAAGCAAAGCTAATAATGCTAATGGTGGCTTTCTCGGCAACGGAAGCTAATGGTGTCAGCTACTAAGAACCTACTAGTATATACTACTAGTATATCTTGGTTACTGATTGTCTATCGTCTGTACCGATTCGTCTGTACAAATCAAAGCAAAGACTGTTCGCTTACTTGTAAATGATCGTAAATCTCCAACTAAAAATAATATTTTTCTCTCACACCAAAACAGTCAGCAATAACCTCAATTCGATACCCTCTCGAACAGGCTGGCCACAAGACACGCTAGGTTTGTATCCACCACGGCACGCACGCGGTCCCAGCAGCTAGCTAGCTGCCAAGACGCACAACAAGCTAGCTAGCGCGAGGCAGCTTGTTTGTCTTTTTCGCATCACGAAAACTGACTACTGCTATAAGCCACGAAAATACGGTTGAGTGATTTGTCGCTAAGAAAAAGATATTATTCATTAATCGAAAAAATACTATTTATAAGTCAAAGCAAACAGGGCGTAAGTCTGTCTGTAACCGCTGGAGCTTACTGTATATCGTTGCCATCGGATTCTGCTTCTGCACCGGTACGGTGAACCTAGACGGCACTGGCAGGGAAGATAAAATCGCGTCCACCATGGGCGGGCAGGGTGGAGACTGGAGAGGAAGGGACTGGGCGGCGTACGTACCGGAGACGGCGTCGACGAACTTGCCGCCGATGAAGAGCTTGGTGAACCTGATATCCACCTTGGGCACCTCGAACCCCTTGCCGCCGCCGCCGCTGCTCCCGTTCGCGCTCGCCATGCCGCCGCCAGCCGCGCGCAGACGAAGAAATAAAGCGAGAGTCGTGCGTGCGTGTGTGGCCGCGCCCGCGAGAGTGGGAAGGAGGTGATGGAGGCCACGGCGCTTCAAGGCGAGGCGTATTTAGAAGACGAGGGCAAGGGGCAGGCTGAGCCACGCCGACCGGGGCTAGCCAGAGGCCAGCATCCGAGTATTGGACGGACGAGGATTCGTCTATCACTTGCGCCTCTGCTCGTGTGCTCTTTCTTCCGTTTGCTTATTATTCATATTTTTTATTATATATATATATATATATCTTTTTTTTATATTTAACCTATTAACTAGCAAATATGTCCGTACGTTGCAACAGGAGAAGAAAATAACTATCAGACGTTAGTAGAACATAAGAACAAAAATGTTATATATCTATTTATATTTTACCTTTTTCATAAATTTAAATGGTTATAATTTATTTTGTATCATCATGACATCCATAATTAATGGCTACAACACCTTTCTCAGGCCTTTGGGAAACAAATATACGATCTGTAGGCCATCGATCAGCCTAATGCGTCCCATTCCCCTGCTTCCTGTCAAACTAATAGATTCATAAATCTTTCCTTCTACTATTCCTATTAAGTCTAACAAATTAAAATACTCCAATTATTTCAAATTAAGTTGTTCGGACTTTTTTTTGATAGATAGCTTTTACTACGTTTCTACATTGCTAGGTATCGATAGTAAGGATACCTAAAGCAAGGAAGTTAACGCTCACGCTGACTTTTCCGGACAGAGTAAGACGTATTAAAAGGCCTCGCCCGACCCAAGGCCACGGGGTCTCGCCCAAGGCCGCGGGGCTCCGTCTCGCCCGACCGCTTGGGTGCGGGTTCCGTCTCGCCCAACCCCAAGGAAGCGGTTTCCGTCTCGCCCAAAGCCACGGGCTCTGTCTCGCTTGACCCCTTGGGCGCGGGCTCCGTCTCGCCTGACCCCTTGGGCGCGGGCTCCGTCTCGCCCGACCTCTTGGGCGTGGGCTTTGTCTCGTATGACGGGGACCCATACCGTCGTCAACCACTCCAGGTCCAAACGTATGGGCCTGGGTCAAAACTCTGACACCAGGGAGTAGACTGGCACGCCTCGATATAACCCGTGGCCATGACGAGCCATACCTAAGGATTCACATCAAGAACAGTGTCGGGCATGCCGATGCTGTTCTGTCTAACCCTCGTACGAACGCTGATAGGCGCGTCAGTTCACCACGACGTCCGTCAGAACGGAATGGAACGCCATGACCGACAGATGACGCCTGCGCATCGCGCCAGTGACGAACAGGGCCGCGACGTAGAGCCATCCCTGTTGACATCTACAGGATCGACGAGACCCGCATGAAGGAGAAGAGGGACCCGACGATCTTGGAAGCCTTTTTCTCTCTCTCGTTCTTCTCCTTTTCCTCCTCTATAACCCGCGCTTTCCCTTCGCCTATAAAAGGGGAAGCAGGGCGTCCCTACCAGGGGGCCGACTATGAGATAAAAATACAAGAGCACGACACGAGCACACGGTTGAGTAGCAATCGAGCTCTCAGCACCCGTTCACTCCCTCCACCAGAGACTTGGGATCCTTTTCCTCTCTCGCCTGTTTATAACCCATACTGCAAACCAAGTGCCGGTAACACAAGCAGTAGCGAACTGGACGTAGGGGCGTTCCGCCTGAACTAGTATAAACCCTTGTGTCCTCCGAGCACACCATCCGAACGAGACGCGCAAATACAAATTTACTCGTCGGTGGTCCAAAAACACCGACAGTTGGCGCGCCAGGTAGGGGCTTTTTGCTCGTCTTGATGTCCACATGGGGCCTCGGATGGCTAGTCACGACGTCAGCTGGGTCCTGGGCGCGCACGTGCGCTTCGGGAACCTGGACTTCATCGTTACGATGGAGGGAGAGTTGGCGTAGGTTCCCACCGCCGTCCAACCTCCATTTCGTCGGCCTCGACGTGATCGTCGAGGCGCTTAAGGAGCTGCAGCTGCACGCACCGGAGGCCCGTGCCCCCGGGAGCGACCAGCTCCTCGGCTTCGATTACGGGAGGCTAGAGCGCCAGCTCAGCGCCTTCCTAGGACCCCGATCGTCCTGGGAGGACCTGGGCCACCTCATGTTCTCGTTCACCAACGTCATGACGCAGCTTACCGGAGGAGAGCCGCTCTCCCTAGAATACCTCATCCAGAGCGCCCCGACAGCGCTACCGTTCGGTCTACGCAACGCCCTCATCGACGAGTTCGTAGGGATGACCGAATATGTCGCGGAATCTTTCCACGAGCTCCTCGTGGGAGAATCGGAGTCGCCCTCCGACTCTAACTCCAGCAGGGGGAGCCATCACCCCTCGCGTGAATGTTTCATGGCAGGTACCCCCGAGGGATACGTCGAAAGCATCCACAAGGGAGAGGCTACGCCAACAAACGACCTCAACGACGAGGTCAGGGGATGCAGGGGCCCACCTCACCTGCGGGTAGAGCAGCTGAGGGCCTAGCACCAAGAGATCGAGGAAGCATGACTCCAGCTCGACCAGGAACGCGCGGAGCTAGAGCGAGAGATCGAGCACCATGGAGACGATGGGCGTGCGCGCTCTATGGCCCGCGACGTGAACCAAAGGATTATCAAGGATGACGAAGCCCTCCCACACTTCACCTGGGCAAGCCAGAACATCGCTGCTGCGGTGGCCTTGCTCCGGGGGCTTTCGGGGCCCGCGACACCCGAGGATCGTTAGGCCCATTACGAGATTCACACGTTACTCGAGCGCGCGGCGGCGCAGCAGGGCGAGAGCTCGCTGTCCCGATGATGCAAGCTCGACGCCAACCAGTGCACGCCCTCAGAGCGACCCTACAAGGATGTGTCAGTCCACCAGGTGCAGCAAGGCGGTAGGCCGCGCACCGTGGTCCCGGTGAATGAGTGTCTCGGCCTCCACCGTGACACGCACGACACCCTCGACGCTCGCAGGCGTGCCCGCGGCGATGCGAGGGAGGAAGCTAGCCATGGCTACCACCCTCGTCGTGGCGGACGCTACGACAGTGGTGAGGACCAAAGCCCGAGTCCTAACTTACCGGTGAAAGGTCGAGATGGCGGACTAGAGGGGGGGTGAATAGTCTTTTCTAAAATTAATCGCGTCGGCTAACCGATATAAATGCGAAATTAAAACAATCGGTCTAGCCAAGACTACACCCCTCTATATATGTTCACTAGCACCTTGCAAAGATACTAATAAAGCAACTAAGGTGTCGGGCTAGCTAGAGCTCTCCTAAACAATTCTAGGAGCAATGTCACATAAACCTATGCCACTAGTACTTTAAGTAACAAGGGAGCTCCTACACATGCTAGTAAGCAAAAGCACAAAGCTAACTAAGCTCACTAGCAATGCTCAATAACAAGGCAACCAACGTCTAATTAGAGAGCGTAAATACTTAGCTACACAAATTAAGCAATGTGACTAACAAGGTTATTAAAACCAAATTAGCCACGCAAGGGAGCTACTTCTATGCTACACAAGCAAGAAGGTAATTAGCTAGCTACACAAGCCATCTAATTACAAGAGCAACTACACAAGCTTAAGATATATATATAAGTAATTGCAAGCTTGTGTAATGGGGATGCAAACCAACGGGAAGAACAAGGTTGACACGATGACTTTTCTCCCGAGGTTCACGTGTTTGCCAACACGCTAGTCCCCATTGTGTCGACCGCTCACTTGGTGGTTCGGCGGCTAATTAGCATCACCCGCTAAGCCCGCACGTCGGGCACCGCAAGAACCTACCCCTTGAGTGAGGGTAGCTCAATGACACACTTTACTAAAGTTGCTCTTCGTGACTCCCGCGGGGCGAGCACAAGTACCCCTCACAAGCACTTCTCCGGAGCGCCGCACAAGCTTCTTGCGTGCTTCGACGGAGACCACCACCAAGCCGTCTAGGAGGTGGCAACCTCCAAGAGTAACAAGCACCACCAGCTTGCAACACGATCACCTAGTGCCACTCGATGCAACCTCACGATGCAATTGCACTAGAATCGCTCACTCATACAATCGAATGATCACTATCAAGTATATGTGTGATGGAGGGCTCCCAAGCACTCACAACCATAGACACTAAGTCCCTTGAGGTGCTCAGCACCAGCCATGGCCGAGGGCCACTTCTATTTATAGCCCCAAAGGCTAAACTAGCCGTTACCCCTTCACTGGGCAACGGTCGGGCCGACCGGACGCTCCGGTCGTGTTGACCGGACGCTGGACCTCAGCGTCCGGTCGCCCGCAGACGGCCACGTGTCCCGGTTCCAACGGTCACTTGACTTGACCGGACGCAGCAGCTTTCAACTGACCGGACGCTGAACCCCCAGCGTCCGGTCGTTTCTAGTAAGGTACCGACCTCGACCGGACGCGTCCGGTCACACTTGATCGGACGCAGACAACGTTCGGTCACACTCCAGCTTCTGCGTCATCGTACGTCAGCCTGACCGGACGCAGCCTGCCAGCATCCGGTGCATTCAGATCCAGCGTCCGGTCAGTTGACCGACGCCAGCATCTTCGCGACTAACTCGTTTTCACTTCTAACTTCATCACCCTTGCTCCAATGTGCTAACCACAAGAACTTGCATCCGGCGCAATAGAAAATAGGCATTCTATTTTCCCAAAAGCCATCTCACCCCTACAAACACCACCTCCTTTGTAAATGTGCCAACACCACCAAGTGTACACCACCATGTGTATGTGTGTTAGCATTTTCACAATCATTTCCCAAAGGATGTTAGCCACTCAACTTGCCACGCCACTCGATCCTAGCGACAATGTAAAGTTAGATCACTCGAGTGGCACTAGATGACCGATATGCAAACAAGTTTGCCCCTCTTGATAGTACGGCCATCTATCCTAAACCCGGTCATAAACTTCTCTACACACCTATGACCGGTGAAATGAAATGTCCTAGGTTATACCTTTGCCTTGCGCATTCCATTCCATCTCCTTCAATGTCGATGCAACACATGCACCAACA